TGTAGCGAGGGGGAAGTATGTAGGGAGGGGGAGTATGTAGGGGGGTGTAGGGGGGGAGTGTGTAGGGGGGAGGGGGTGTGTAGGGAGGGGGGTGTGTAGGGAGGGGGGTGTGTAGGGAGGGGGGTGTGTGCGTGTGTGTTGGGTGTGTGTGTGTGTGGGAGGTCTTGCTACTCCCTCCTGCACTAACAACTGAACCTCTCCCGAAGAAAATCTAACGTCACTTAATAGTATGAAAAACACTAGATGACGTCATGAATAGTGCGGACCAATCACCACATACCACACCCACAAAAAAGTGGATTTTACACCAGGTTGACACCATCACACGACAGTAACTAAGACAGAGTGCGGCCATGTTGTGACATATGGTATCTGGTGAGAAGGCTAAACATTCCCTTAACAAATATGTAAGAATTCAAATATCAGAAGACGTGACATTCCAAGCTGCTGACGTCATCTATAACCAATATTTTTTACTGCATCTCACACAGCTACCTCACACGCAGGGGAACACACAGCATAAATTACAGTAAATAAAAGGTAAATTAAGATAATGTAACACTGTAATTAAACCTCAGTGTCGATCATCACTCCTAAGAGTCATTTGAGTCAAAATATGAACACTAACAACGAACACGACCCAATAGTATACTGTATACCAGACGCTTTAATGGAGATCACAAGATAGTTTGTATGAATATGTAAATGAACTGATTTATAGATACGACAACACCGGGTCAACACTATACATTAGGATCGATAAACAGTGACACTACAGTTGACCATAACTATACCGCTGACGCACCTACAGTAGTTATCTTGCCGAGGTATCACTAAACAGACTCTTACACACGTCGGGGCAAAATACTTGATTGAAATTACCTATCTCCATTAAATCACAGTTATTATTTACTTTCACGAAACAAATTGATATGTTCTTAATTATCCTCATGAGAAGCACATAATATTACGCTACCTTTGTTATATTCATTTCTAATCAATATTATTATAAGTAGTTTGCATCACGGTAACCTCTCACTTCAATGGCCTGGCCCCACAACACACATCAACAAGGTATCATTGTCCTTGGGCCTTCCTCCCTCACGAGAATAAGGAATTGCTATCCAGAGAACATATTAGCAAAACTGTGGATTATGTAAACAGCTGAGAGCCTCTTTACAACAATGAAAACTTGATCATCTTAGTTACTGATGTGATACATATTCTTGTCGGGACTATATTACCAATACACACTCGTCATTTAAACCTTTAAGATATCAGTGATGCATTTAACCCTCAACAGATGGCGCTGCTAATCTACCGTAAATCAAGTGGCATTTTATAAATCAACATTGAATTGGAGCAGCACTGCCTCACAACACAGTATCAAGATTGATGGCGGTGACACGTACTGGCCAACCCTTAAACATTTCCCTTGTTGTGGAGGTCAATGGACTAAAGAGCTATTTATTGTTTGTAAATGTTGGACTTGTGGCAATGAGGGAACTGGGTGTATATATAGTGTGGTGGTGGTGGTGGTGTAGTTGGGTGGTGCAGTGGGGTGGTGTATAGGGGCGGTACAGTATATATGCAGTATTGTTTAACAGGCTATGTATACCTCCTCACTACACTTCAACACACACTCACCAACAAGCACAAACACACATATACCCTCACAAATAATCGCCCATCATCAAAGCGAGAGTCAATTGAGCGGTTACTTGTGAGGAAACTTAAGTGTTGCTAAGTGTATGTGGAGTACCAGGGGTATACGCACCTGACCTACTTTTTGCACTGTTGTTTCTGGTAATCTAAATCCCACTTGGTACCCACGCTACTGTTCCAAACACGATATCACTACTCATTGAAGCCTGTTGTTGACTGTGGAGTTGACTTAGTTTGGCCAACCCTCAACACTAACGAGTCACTCAAATACTCAAAAGGTCGGTACAAAACTCAAGTGTTCGTTCGTCACCACTATCAGTATTATGCTAGATTGGTGGGGCTATCACTTATTTCTGTAGTTAAAACTCCCTTCCGTATTTATGATTCACTAACTTAGGATCATTTATATGTGTTTGCTTCAAGTCGAGTATGTGATATATCCCCGAACACTTTAAACTACCCGGATTAAAAAAAAAAATAAATAAATTAACTTTAACATAAAATTTATCCAAGAAGCCAATATCCCTACCAAGTTTCAAGGCAATCTGGTCAGGCTGTAGAGCTATGGATTACACATCACCAGTTGGCTATACGGATGGTGACGTAACAGAGCGAGCGCGGTTTCATAACACACCGCGAACTAACAACAATTGTCTCTTTAAAGTAACCAGACAACACACAGTACAAATTGGACTTTTTAAATGACATACATCCCACACTATCTACACCAAACTGTCGGCATCTCACACTCTCTACACCAAACTGTCGACAACCCACACTATCTACACCAAACTGTCGACAACCCACACTATCTACACCAAACTGTCGACAACCCACACTATCTACACCAAACTGTCGACATCTCACACTATCTACACCAAACTGTCGACATCTCACACTCTCTACACCAAACTGTCGACAACCCACACTATCTACACCAAACTGTCGACAACCCACACTATCTACACCAAACTGTCGACATCTCACACTCTCTACACCAAACTGTCGACAACCCACACTATCTACACCAAACTGTCGACATCCCACACTATCTACACCAAACTGTCGACAACCCACACTATCTACACCAAACTGTCGACATCTCACACTCTCTACACCAAACTGTCGACAACCCACACTATCTACACCAAACTGTCGACAACACTTTATCTACCAAACTGTCGACATCGCACACTATCTACACCAAACTGTCGACAACCCACACTATCAACACCAAACCGTCGACATCCCACACTATCAACACCAAACTGTCGACATCCCACACTATCTACACCAAACTGTCGACATCCCACACTATCTACACCAAACTGTCAACATCCCACACTATCAACATCAAACTTGATCAAACTACAACACCAGAACATAAGATAGAAAATTAGGAGACACTATGACTGAGGTAGGGACACACGTACATGGAAGAGGGTCCACATACACGGAAGAGGGTCCACATACACGGAAGAGGGTCCACAAACACGGAAGAGGGTCCACAAACACGGAAGAGGGTCCACAAACACGGAATAGGGTCCACAAACACGGAATTTTGTTCACATACACGTAATAGGGTCCACATACACGGAAGAGGGTCCACATACACGGAAGAGGGTTCACATACACATAATAGGGTCCACATACACGTAATAGGGTCCACATACACGTAATAGGGTCCACATACACGGAAGAGGGTTCAAATACACATATTCCGTACATTATCCGGTAATCGCTAAGTGAATAAATCTACTTTTAGGTGACCTCAAGTTAGTATAATGTTGACGTGCCTCTGTAGGTCAGGAGTAGGTTTTAAGAGACAGGGGTCAATGGAGTGCCTCAAGGTCATCGGTCCATTCCCTCGGTAAGAATAAGATCGAACAGAAGACAAAGTAGCGCATGGGGAGTGACGTGTACCCAGCCGGAGTGTGTCAACGGTGTATAGAGTCAATTATTCACGGGCTGCTATTATTCACTCTTGTTATTCGCTCACTTGGAATTCACGTAAACCTTGGTATTCACACACTCTTGTTATTCACGCACTTTTGTTATTCACGTAACTCTTGTTATTCACGTAACTCTTGTTATTCACGTAACTCTTGTTATTCACGTAACTCTTGTTATTCACGTAACTCTTGTTATTCACGTAACTCTTGTTATTCACGTAACTCTTGTTATTCACGTAACTCTTGTTATTCACGTAACTCTTCTTATTCACGTAACTCTTGTTATTCACGTTACTCTTGTTATTAACGTAACTCTTGTTATTCACGTAACTCTTGTTATTCACGTAACTCTTGTTATTCACGTTACTCTTGTTATTAACGTAACTCTTGTTATTCACGTAACTCTTGTTATTCACGTAACTCTTGTTATTCACGTAACTCTTGTTATTCACGCACTCTTGCTATTCACGCACTCTTGCTATTCACGCACCCTTGCTACTCACTCTTCTATTCACGTAACTCTTGCTATTCACGTAACTCTTGTTATTCACGTAACTCTTGTTATTCACGTAACTCTTGTTATTCACGTAACTCTTGTTATTCACGTAACTCTTGTTATTCACGTAACTCTTGCTATTCACGCACTCTTGCTATTCACGCACTCTTGCTATTCACGTAACTCTTGCTATTCACGTAACTCTTGCTATTCACGTAACTCTTGCTATTCACGTAACTCTTGCTATTCACGTAACTCTTGCTATTCACGCACTCTTGCTATTCACGTAACTCTTGCTATTCACGTAACTCTTGCTATTCACGTAACTCTTGCTATTCACGTAACTCTTGCTATTCACGTAACTCTTGCTATTCACGGGCTTTGTTAAAAAAATACTCCATTATTCTTAAAAACTTCCTTTATGCATCGACATGAATTATACTATTATATCAGGTGAGTCAATTAATCAACAAAAAAACCTAGTTATACGTGCAGTGAGTTCAGGGAACTTAGCACTAAACAACGCAGTTTCAGGAAATGCAACTCTGGGAAGTATTGTTATATATTATTATGCTTGAATTGTAAACACGTGTCAAACAATTCAGGAACTCTCTTGTAACATAACAATCATGCAGTAACATGACACGCTCAGTGACAGCTACATTTGGTAAAGATCAGTTATGCCTGATATGTCTTTAACTGCTGCTTAAATATGCACATGTTGTTACCAAAGAACTCAGTCGTGGTCGCTATGTCAATGTAGAGCTCAAACATTTACAAAGTCGTGATGTCTCTGGGTCACAACACAGGCAGAGGTTCGGGCTCGTGAGCAGTCATAAATTTTTAAGTCGTGAACTCTCTCATTGATGAACTCCTGTGATACTCACCTAGGGCACAGTCACGACTCGGCGAGGGCTAGCTAGCAGGCTGCATCAGCACTTCCTCACACGTCGACCACCACCTGGCAACTGAACACCACCACAACTCTACTCGAGCTCAACTACCAGCAACTTGTTCTTCGCATGCTCTGATTTACCTTGCGCATGCGCGGACGGTGCCAGGTGGCGCGGGAGCCCTTGTTAGACCCATACCTACTGCCAGGGTGCTCAGGGTGTTCGCAACCTAAGCGCTCTGTTTAATGGACGACTGTTCTTTACATGGAGGAGATTTTGGTTTGCCACTGAATAATTGTGTCGTTATACTACCTATCCTATATATTTTTTAAATGTATTTCATGTTTTCTAGGTCAATATGCTCTACTACAGATTTTCAACTGACATCTAAAAAATATAGCCTACCTCTTTTAATCCTACTCTCTCAATTCTTTTTGAAGTACGTCTATTGTTTATTGTGATTTTCCTGTTCATGTGGGTCAATGATATTTGTTCTTATTGTTATTCACTGTTACCGTTCTCTTCCGTGAGTGTTCGTGACCAATTATGGTGGTGTGGTTTCCGAAGCCAAGTTGAAAACAGGTGTCTTGAATGGACCACAAATTCGTATACTAGTTAATGATAGCGAATTCACCAAAACATTGAACCCAATGGAGAAAAAAGCATGGGAATCATTTGTCAATGTGTCAAAGAATTTTCTTGGAAACTATCGTGCTGACAACTACAAAGACATCGTAACAACCATGCTTCAGAATTATCATGCATTGGGAGCAAGGATGTCCTTGAAATTGCATTTTTTCCACTATCATATTGAATTTTTCCCAGGTAACCTTGGAGACGTTAGTGATGAACACGGCGAAAGATTTCATCAAGATATCGCCATAATGGAGAGCAGATATCAGGGACAATTCAGTCCTAACATGATGGGCGACTATTGCTGGACACTGCAACGAGAAGAGAGCAAGCTGTACAAGAGAAAGAGTAAAGTTCAGAAGCACTTTTAGAACTTCATATTTTGTCATTATAAAGGATTTGAACTTATGTTTTTTGGTACAATTTTTTATGAGCTTATCTGTGATAGGTTTAAAATTGTATCTTGCATGACGCGATAATGTTACTATATTTACTATTTTTTTTATTCTTTAAGAAAGTAGGTCTGATGGTAGAATGAAACATCCAATTAATATTCATTAATATGAAATTAGTCATGAAAGCACAGTCACATGAGATAATCTCATCTTTTGCACGACACGTGATGGAATATTAAATATTTGTACCTATTGATTTTTTTATAAAACCTGGTCTGATAGAACAAAACAAATATCAGATTCGAATTCAGCAATATGAAATTAGTTGTGTGAGCATGATCTCATATGTGAACCATTTTGGCTGTTGACCAGTGTTATTTTTCTGCTCCTACTGTTCTCAACTGTGATCAAATTATTTCTGTGCTATTATTACTCGTAACAACGGCCACGTGATTTCTGGTTCTGTGTTTTATTTCTTATGTGTTTTAACTGCCAGGGTCATCAGCCACCGTTCACTATAGGTTCAGTGTTTACAAACTTAAAACCCCCAAAATATGCTTCTCTGTGTTAAAGAATACGTAATGGTGCTTCAACTGCGTCGTTAATTTGGTTTATTTTTCACATATTCTAAAACGTGTATTACAGTTTATCCACCGTGTTCTTTGTGTAGGGTTAGTAGGTAGTAGGTAGTAGGCAGCTACCAAACAGGGAGGTACTACCGCCTGGGAGGACATTGGAAGCATAATGTGTTGTCTAATGGTAGACTCTGCTGCCATATGGCATCACGAAAATTGTGACCAAGTCCCAGGTTGCTGATCTAACTTTCTGCTTCATTTACACGCAATTGCAGGGTCTCAATTGTTTCTCTTACCATTGACAACACAACATACATATATCGTTTCTCACTTTTGATCTTTTTTTCATTTTTGTATTTATAGTCCTTTATTATTATTATTATTATTGTTATTACAGTACTGTATTATTATCATTATTTTATTATTTTATTTTCGTTTGTTTTATCATAAATTTTATTTATTATGAATTATTTTGACTATTATTTATTATTATTATTATTATTATTATTTTTATTATTATTATTATTATTATTATTATTATTATTATTATTATTATTATTATTATTATTACAT